TTTTTACTATTTTTTTTAAAAAAGGATTAGCAATTTGAATTTCATCAATTATATTGGTTGGGACTAGGTTGTCCGCAATGTAGCACAATTAACGAGCTTGATGACAGGCTAATAAGCATCTATTGCCAACCTAAATAAATTATTAAAATGGCTAACTTAGTACTAATAATGCATTTTATATTGCTTATTATTGGTAAGTTATTGACAAATAATTGCATATCTCGAAATTGTCAGATTTTTGCAAAGTAATCTAAAGAAATTTTTTATTACAAACGGGTGAGCATTATTTACTGATCGATATATTTGATAATTTGATAAATATAAAGCCATAAAATGCAGCATATAATGCAACGCAATGATTCTCCTTTCATTAAGTTTCAACCATAATCAATATTTACGTCTCTCTCAATTTAGTTCTAGCTAACGTATTTAACACAATCACATAAAAGATTTATAGGATCATTTTTATCCATAATCCATTATAAATTAGGATCTATTAAACATTAACGGATACGGATATCCGCATTTAATCCGAATTATCGGATTCACCCGAATTGGTCGGATTACGATCGAAACACTACTAATTAGTCTAATTAGTCAAATAAAAAATTTATACGTAAAAAAACAAGTCTTAATATATTTTTAATTTATAGGCTTGTCAGGGTGGTATACTGGAATAAATTTAGCAATTGCAAGCTATGCCAAATCACTATATGCGCACTGTACAAATGCGCTTTATTATTTACAGCTTCATTTTTGTCTTTATTTGATAAAGCTGCCTATACGTTGATCATAGATTTAATGATTATCAAATATTTTTATGTCCAACATTCGGAGATAAGAGGACGACCCGCGACTAGAGATGCCTGCTACAAAGTCGTAGCCTTTGCATCTTTTTAAACTTATTTGCGAATACCCTTTTTTCTACAAAAAGATGTAAGACCTCAGAGTCGCAAGGTCAAAAGTTAGACGCAAATAAGCAGTCACCGTCATATTCTAAGTAAATTATTTATCAATATGAACAAATATATAACATAATGGTTTCTCGATTTAAGTTAATAATTTAAAATTTAAATTATACTGTGTATTCATATTATAATATTGTACACATTATATTATATCGATATTGTATACATTAAATATATTACAACATTATGACATTATGATAGATTATGACATCACGATATTAGGTATATTTAACATTACGATATATTGCTACATCACGACATTTAGCATATTGCGACATCAGGACATTATGATAGGTTTTTTTATTTGCATTTATGCCTTTTAAATATAAAGTTTAAAATATGTCACAACTCCCATTACAGCTCAAAAAGTCAAAGTTAGCATTTTGACAAAATTCGATCTGGAATTTTAATATACTGTATATTTTTAGCTTAGCAATATATCTTTAAATAGTTAAAAGTCAAATTATAAAATAAATTGTTATAACAAAACAAACGTTCCATTACTTCATTCCATAAGTAAATGCGCCAACGTATAACGCTGCAAATTATGTACGTACATACGTATGTATTAATTAACTATACTTTTTGGGGATAAAATGCTTATTCACAATGAATATGATATACGTGTAGTTTATTTAAGACGCATATTATCTTAGAGAAATCTAGATTTAATGAATTTTTAATGAGAATGTAAGTAGATATAATAAGAAATCTAGATCTAATGAATTCTTAACGAGAATGTAAATAGGAAATCTAGATCTGATGAATTCTTAATGAGATAATAAAATAGATACGTATAATTAGAAATCTAGATCTAATGAAATCTTAAAAATATAAAAAATATAGTAAGAAATATAGGTCTAGTGAATTCTTATGACTACTTATATCGCGTATACACTTAGTAAATTATTGTGAAAATGCGCTTAAATTATTTAATCTTTAATCTTTAATTTATGTCCGAAATCAGGGTCCTTAGGTTCAGTTTTGTCTGCAGCAACTCCAACGAATGTAGGAAATCGTGGTGACCCACTATCGCTAAGTTCTTGACATCGATATCTATATATGTATATTTCAATTAATTGTCCTTCCTCGAGAAATAAAATGAAATCGAAAAAATAGTAATTTATATTTACACAATGATGCTTCCAATTTTTGGAGGTTTTCTTCTTTCTTTATCACTCAATCCAGACCCGACCTTAAATTTTTTACCGCAAGCCATTACACATTTTAATGCACCTGTCATTCCTGTATATTTGCCTTTTCCTGGTTCGTAACCTTCCACAAGAGCTTCGCCATCATAGAATGATTTAACCTAAAATTGCAATTGTAAAAATTATGTTCAATAAATGAAAATTTGATGAATTTATCTCGATACTTGAACATACTTTTAATAATGTGTTGGATCGACCACAAGCATATTCACTTTTCGGTTTTCTAATCATTAATCCCTCTCCACCAGCTGTTTCAACTTTCTTTAACTCATCAAAAATATCTTTAGCTGATTTACAATATCTATGTTGAACTGGTTGCACATACGGAGGGCTAACATAATTGTAAAATGTATAATAATATATAAGATATATGGCACTTAAAATTTGCTAGCTTGTAAAGTTACTTACTTTTTTTTTTCTACTAAATCTTCGATGTAAGCCATACGATCCTCAAAAGGTACATCAGAGTACGATGGGACATCAAATACCTAGATAAAAAAAGATAAATCACACGCATTATGGAAATATAAATTAAAGATTGAAATAATATGATTATATACCTTATAGGTTATCTTCTTCCATTCTTCAACACCAGCTTTTACGATACTAACAGTTGACTGGAATTTGCCGCGACCACCAAAAAGTTCACCGTCAAGATCAATATCTCTTGGTAAACCTGTCGATTAAAAGGAATTAAGTTTAAAAAAAAAAATTTTCATCCAATTATATAGTAAAAAATTACCATTACTCACCTTTTGTAAACCTAAAGATAAAAAATTTAATGAGATTTTATAATACTGTATAATTAACAAGGCGAATATTGTATTAGATTTTACCAGGCAGGTGCAGCATAAACTTTTCCAAGTCTGGATAAGAATACACCTCGCTTTCCACACCAAAAGGCCCTAACACCATCCAGCTTTTCAGAAATCCACCAACCGGTCGGGTCAACTTCGTCTTCTTTCCAAGAATGTGCGAGTAAGAGATTGGGAATATTCCCTTTCAAAATTGACTTATGCTTGGCATTGATAATAGAAGGAGGTAAGGTAGCCGATTTCTTAAAGGTAGTGTTATTCGTGTTATTCATGGTAGTAGATGTAGACGGTGACGCAGAGGAGATGTTTTGCCCGTCATCAATAATGACGAACGGTTTATAAGATCCTTTAATTGAATCGTCAATAATATCGATATCAACACTATTTTTTTGTCGCTTGAGACGTTTCTTTATAGTTTCTGAAACTTTATCGAATTTAATATCAGTTGTCGATGGAGGTTTGTTTTGCTTTTGAAATCCTTGACTCGTCTTTCTAGCGATCAAATTAATCATAGATTGTTTTGCATCGGCCCAATTTTTATGTTCTTTCATTGTTATTTCTCCTTTGTCACCAATATCTCCCATTCTGATATATGTCTTTCGACCTTCAAGCCTAATCTCCCAAAATTTGGTTTTTGATATCATATATGTCGTAGGTTTTGTAAATATATCATGGTTCTCTGCAGGCTCATCGTCACTACTTTCATCCCTTTCTCGTTTCCTTTCAGCATTTTTAGTAGGATTAGTCCCTTTAGAGTTAAGTTCATCATCTTCTCGTTGAGTTATCAGATTTTCCCATTCCTGTTCGCTAAGAATAGTGAGACCGAGTTCTCTAGCGTCGTCAATTTCGGCTCCAACGTCTTGACCACAGACTACATATCTGGTGGTTGCAGTAATGGTTGGACTAACAGAATATCCTAAGGATATGGCACGTTCGTATTGAATTCCACGCGAAGCGATAGTTGAAGTTCCTAAAAATACTACAGTTTCTGACATTTTATTATGAATGTTGGAAGATGTTAAGGTATTTTCATGTCGTTTTTATAAATTATTGTTGTTCTGCGCAGCAATTAGTAAATCTAAATTAGGAAAAACAAACCAATGATGGTCCCCCAGTGGTTGGGGATTCATTTGCGTATAATACGTAATAGGTGCGTCAATTGATCCGCAGTGGTTGCACATAATTTTGGCTAGTGAAAATTATTCCTAATTGGTAAATACTATCTGTTTGGCGTATTATTCTGTTATTAGTTGTCGCCTGTATACAATACTTAATTTTCCGATCGTTATCAAGATCACGAGGATTATCTCATTTCACATCAATTTGGCGAAATTAGTGGATATATTGATATACATCTTATGTTGGTGCATAACAATAATAGATAAGTCTTTTTAATGTACGTACGTAAGCAGTTAAAGTTCTAAATATGGATAATTGTCGTTTCGTTCTTCCGGTTTATGTGTATGTATCGGTATGTGTAGCCAGAATAACGTAAATATAGTATAGTAACCTCTCTAAATTACATGGTTATTTGTCTCATCGTAGCACTAATTTATTTAATAAATGTATTATTAATCAATTTGGTGATATATAACCATGTGACGTTTAGATATTCTGAATTTAGAATTATGTGTGATAGTGGAATTTTACGTTAAGGGGGAGATACCTTTTTATGTGAATTTGCGTATACATAGCAAAGTTTAAAACTTTTTTTGTCTTCCAGTACTATTTAGTTCTCAACGATAATGAGTGAAAAAGTTAAAGCTGCTGTAGTACCAGCAAAAGGCGCTGAACTAGAAATCCAATTGGTTGATAAACCTGTTCCAAAATCATACGTTTATGATGAATCCTCTGGAGAAAGAGGCGAATTACTTGTCAAGGTCAAAGCTATTGCTTTGAATCCTATTGATTGGTAATGCTTTATTTAGATAATAATCTATATATAATGTATTGTATCATACATGAATGAAAATTTTTATTTCTAATTTTCCGATAGTATTCAAGTAGAATCGGGATTACTGGTTGATGGATATCCTGCAATTCTCGGTTGTGATGTTGCCGGTATCGTAGAAGCTGTTGGTGAGGGTATTACTGAGTTTTCTCCAGGTGATGAAATTTTTGGGTGTAGCAAGATGGGACTTCCCGGTCATTACGGTGCATTTGCCGAGTATACTTTACTTGATGCATCAACTACTTTCAAGGTTATTTTTCCTACAATATATTGAATTATTTCATTTACAAGCAACAACATAATTGACATAATTGATTGTCTTTAATAGAAACCACCACACATTACTTTCGAAGAAGCTGCAACTTTTCCCGTTGGTTCGCTTACAGCGGGGCTTGGCTTATTCGATTCATTAAAATTACCACCTCCTTCTGAAGGAATCAGTCGGTTCCAAGAAGAATTTATCTTGGTGAGTCAACGTTTCTTCTTACGTTATTTTTATTTTTCTTACTAAAAAATGAAAATTTTAACAAACAATAATTATTACAGATTTGGGGTGGTGCTTCTTCCGTTGGCTCAAATGCCATTCAGCTTGCGGTTAATTCAGGACTCACAGTTATTACAACCGCATCGCCTAAAAACCATCAATATCTTAGAGAAATAGGCGCAGCTTACACTTTTGACTACAATGCTCCTGACGTAATTGATCAAATCAAAGAAGCCAGTCAAAATCGATTGAAATATGTCTTTGATACTGTTGGCAGTAAAACCGCTTCTTTAGGTGCAAAAGCTTTAAGTAAAAATGGTAAAATTGTATGTATCAATTTTGAGCCTGTAGAGACAAGAGAAGATGTTGAAGTTACACGAGTAGCCCTTGCTTCTGCATATAGACGTCCTAATGATTACCTTAAAGTTACCAATAGAGTTTTAAAGGAGGTTGAAGCTTTGTTGTTTCAGGAAAGACTTAGACCATCTAATGTTTCCATTTTGCAAGGTGGAATTGATGGTCTTCCTCTAGCACTGGAAAAAATGAAAAAAGGAGTTAGTGCTACCAAGCTAGTTATTGTAATTAACTAATTTCTTTATAGGTTATTTAATTTATATATATATATATGATAGCAAAAACATGTATATTTATTTTTATCAATGTATATATATCTGAAATATAGTAAAATTGGAGATTTTAAAGCAAACTCTGTTCAATATTTTGAATGATTACTTCATGTAAGGGTGTTAAAAAATCCTAGAAAGACTTGGTTAAGGCGAGTTTGTTCTGAACAAACTACTAAAAGCTAATAGTTCGCATCAAGTCTGCTATCACTTTAAACTTTATATATATGTTATTTCGAATTGAATCTTTTAAAAACAGTATGAGTGTCGATGTGTTTATTCGAAAATCTATTCGTGAAAAACTGTCTATTTTATTCGAAATAACGCGCATTAACATATCTAAATTAACACGTGCAAAGGCTTAAAATAAGCTGCCCGAATCGAATACGGAATGGGATAATTAAGCACTTTTGTTGTATTTTCAATTTGAAATCGTTAGAACATATTTTATTGAGGTGTCACCAATCCGTTTAATCACAAACATATATAGTAAAAATCATTATTGAAGATTTTTTTTAATTGATTTTCGAAATTTTCAAATATCAAATTATTAATAAAAAATGGCTTGCGCAAACTTTAATAACTTCCGTTATATTACTTTTTTTTTTAATTCAGTGAGTTGATATTTATTATTTAATAGTGTCCCTATTAAATATTTAATTGTTTTTATATTTTGTCAACTAGTATTTATTAAACATATATTTATCAAAGTTTGCGCGAAAACATTTTTTATTATAAATCGAGAATTTTAAAATCAATTTCAAAAAATCTTCACTAATGATTTTTACTATATTGTCTTGTTTGTGATTAAACTGATTGGCGACGCCCAATATTTTATGAAAACGTGTTTTTTTGAAGTAATTTATGTTTTTTATTTTAACCCTGACTGCTTGTCGGGACGACAGCCATAGTTCCAGATGACTTAGCTAGAAAAATGTCGTGTCGAGACGACATTCATGGTAACTTGTTGAAACAGACCTGCTGTCATAAGTTTGTGAATAGTACCAATTTCTATAATTTTGTAACCCTTCACTGATTACTCATTAGAATAACAGTCATCGCAAGCTACAGTATTTGCACGAAGCGGAAAGACAAAGAATTATTTTTCATATTGCTTATTCAATTGTCATATCGATGAGTGACAAAAAAGGTGGTTGGCATTATTTCATGAAAATATGGTAAATAAAAATTTTTGGTTGCTTTTCGGTAAACTAATCAAGATATTAAAGTTATTATTAAATAGAATTACTATATACTATAGTAAAATGAGATGTGAATAATAAATTAGATTTATAATCATTTTTATAATTATTAAATAGTTAGATATATAAAAAGTTTTTTAAAAATATGCTTATAAAAATTGTATTTATAGATTTTTCTATAAACTAAATAGTATTTTTTTTTTTATAAATTCGGCAACCATGCCAATACTTTATTAGGTATAAAAATCACATATCTATTTTATATCTATTTCATGAGTAATCTAACTTTAACACTGGGCTAAACATGTTACTCCTAATTTACAAGTATTGACTCACCTGGCTTTTTGCAACGAAAGTCTTCTATGATAAAAGTTCAAATTACCCATGTGCAATCTGCTATAGTAAAATTTTCTCTCCATACTAAACCCTCCTACTAATGAAGAATCAAATATATTACTGAGCAGCATTTACAGCCATCATGATTGCTTTCTCTTTTTTGAACACTAAATCTTCTTTTCCTAACTTCCCAAGTAGAAAGAAAACCTCCTAACTACTCATTGAAAAAATTTCAAGATCAATGAAAAAAAAGGGAAGTTTAAAACCAAAAAGAAGAAATACCTAAATGAATACCACAAAAAAAACTATATAAAACCCTACAAAGAAAGAAAAAAAAAGATAGGATAAAAAAAGAAGAAACAAAAATGATGAAGCACTATTATAACCCATGCCAGGTTAAAAAAATATTATGCATATGACTTCAGGATAATGTATATCTTATATAATACTAATGAAAGCACCTAAAACTAACTATAAACCCTTTTATGAATTAAATCCAATAATAAAAATCACTACACATTCTGCACGTGTTTATTGTTTCCCTAATTCACCACATTGCAATGGCAATTTCTAAAAATGAAAGTGGTAAACAATATTAATTGTTTGGAGGGAGATAGCCAAATTTCCAAATTTTTTTGAAAATTTTGTAAAAAAAATATCAACAGAATAAAATCAAGTGCAGGATAACCAAAGTCCTTAGAGAAGGTAATAAAAAAACTCATTTGTTGTCTATCTAGAGAGCCAGAACACCAAAACAACTTCATTGATGGACAAAAACCAAATTGTCATCAAAATTTTTAATACAAGAGCACCTCCAACTTACTAGTTATCTTGTATATAAATTCTTTTAACTTGTATGCTGAAAGTAAGTGAGAAGTTCTCCAGATAGTAAAGGTTAACCTCAGATATTTTACTTACAAACCATTGTATGAAAGGTGTCTGCTTCTTTTACTATCTTCAACAAAATTTTTGTTTTTTATTAGCCAGGAATTTTGGTGCAGGTGATTGTCAAAAAAAGTTATTACTATAAATTAAATAGTAATTTGAATTAAATTTATATATAATTATATATAATAATTAATAGTGTGATTAGGAAGCTGACAATTATTAGGTGATTTTCTGGGGGTCAAAAAAATTGAAATTTTATATGTAAGACCTGATAATTTATATATTAAAAACTAGGGGAGTAAGCCTCTAATAAAAAAAAATCAGGTGATAAATGACACCGCCCTTATATAAAGTTTATATTAAGTCCTAAGGATCTAGACTTCTGTATTACTATACCAATAGGGAATACTATAAAAGGGGTGGTAGCCTAATTAAGTGATATACAACGTGAATATCTAGAACTATGCAAACAGCTCTCCTAATGATAGCAGCAGGTGGCTTAAGATATGGATCTTCAGATGGCGGCAGCATCTGGCTTGAGATACGGATTAGGATCTGAAATAACATCTCTAGGGACACCAAACTAGAAGCAAGAAGAATACCCACTCCTAGGACACCAATTTGGAAGTTTTATAAGAAACAAATTAAGAGTAATGTGATAAGTAATGAGAGGTGGATTATAACTGGTAAATGTTATATAGTAGTATATATAGCAGGGTATATATGAATTGATAAAAAATATTAAGGTTTTGAGTTAAATCAGAATCTAGGGTGCTTTTTGATAGAGGTTCTCAAAGTAGTTTATCTCACACGTGAGATGGTGCAAACAGTTGCATCTAAGTGCTATATAGGGTAGCCAGGTGAGATCATAATGACTATTTAGTTAAATAGTTAAATATATATAATATATATATACTGTTCGGTTAAATATAATAATAAAAGTTAATAACAAAATCATCGAAGTTTAAAAAAAAATAAAATAAAATTTTAAACAAATTTAGTTATTAAGATAGAATTGGACTAGTTAGTGCCTATGCACTTTGTGCTTTTTAATATAAAATTGCCAATATTTCAAAATTTTACTAGGGTAGCCCTGTTGTATAACTAAACAAAATGTTTCTTTTGCAATTTTACACTATCTTGAATCTAAATTCTAACTTTAATCTAACTCTAACCTAACTCTAATCTAAACTCTAAACTAGCTCTAAATTTTAATAGTAGGTATAAGTTTGCTTCTTTTTTTTTTTTTTTGGTATTAAGGTAAGGCCTTGCTCATATCTTTATTGATTAATTTATATAAGTAATTACATATCAACTATATA